TGATATACATGTATAGGCGGATTCATCGCGACGTCAATGTTGACATCTTTGCTCATTGGCATAGGAGTTAACCCGTAGAAGATGTAGCCGTATATTCCAATTAGGTTAAAAAATTAAAAGAGCTGTCTAATGTATGCAGTTTGTGCAAGTTTCAGCTCTTACCAATCAGTAAAAAAGAAACTGCAAAATTACTGGGTGGCAAATCGTTAATGAGCCAATACATTCTTTGTAAAATTTTGGGGTTTTTCAAAGAGAATTTCTCCGACACTATCTGGTATATCGGGCTCAAATAATTCGTCACGGCGGTTTATGCCATGAGGTTCAAGAGTCATGGCCTAAGCCGCCGTGACGAATTATTGTAATCCAACTCCTTAGTATTTTTCCTTTCTAGTTTTTGTGTTGTACGTCATTTCCGCCTCTCCCTTTTAAACAATTTTTATTGCGACATTCTCCATCTATATAATATTGTGATTCCTACATAAGTTCAGTAACATCTGTAAACCTGAAGAAGGCTGGTATGGCCAGCCGAAATATTGTTATGAAAAAACAATACACGTTGTTCTGAATCAGCTTTGCAGTAGTCTTTGGGCTTCTCGTTTTTGGTTCTTTTTATTCTGGCTGATTAGAGCTCTTTTCTAGCAATCCAACGTTTACAACTAGCAGGATCTTCGTCCACGGTTTTTGCAGTTAATTTAATATCCTTTGAAATTGTTATGCTTTTTCAATATTCAGAAATTTTATTGTATTAGCTTCAACAGAAAATGATAAGCCTATGCTAGTGGGAAAAAAAAATGTAAACCAAGGATTCGCCTATACCAACTGAAAAGTCATCATTCAGTAGTAGTTTCTTTTGGAATCATTTCCAAAATACTAAAATGAAGCAATTTCTGCTACAAATCGTGAAATGGCAAGAAAAATGACGTATTACACTTCTGAAACGTTTGTTCTGAAGTAATAAAAACTACTGATAAATGAAAAATTAGAGCAAAAGTCAAATTGCTGGTTTGAATTAGAAAAAAAAAGGGAAGAGGTTCTGTATGAAACCTACCTCTTTCGTTTCAGTTTAATTTGTTTGTTTTTATTGTTGTTGCTAAGACATACAAAGGTTCTCTTTTTCATTTTTCGGGATTTGCCTTTTGGTACCTTTTGCCTTTTGGTACCTTTTTACAAAAATTCGCTGCAAATGATTTCTCTTTGAATGGTTGGGACATGTTGGGAGATAAAGGTACGACAGACACCTATCGACGCCGCGGCTTCTAATTGAACAAATAATTTTTCTCACAATTGTAAACTTGACTCCTGGCCGGTCGTTGGCGGTTCCAAAACATTCCTGCTTTACGCCTCTGATTGACAAGCTCTAATTTGTTTATATTATTAAAAAAAACCTTGATTCCATGACTTTTCAGTAAGTATTATCTCAGTATGTTTATAATAAATAATAGCCTGTCATCCTTTTTTGGAGCGATATATCACTATATCCATACCAAGGTCACTTAAGAAACGAGAGAGAGAGGGAAACTGGACCCAGTCAACTTTCGCAAAGACTTCTGGGACTGTTATTAGGGACAGAGAAAAAAAATGGCCAAACGCTGATCGGTGCGGAACAAATTACGGCTCCAGTTCCCTACTCATTTCTAAATTGGCGAATTCCGAGACTCTTTCTCCTTTTCCTCCCTTGTCGTCGACAGGAGAGAAGGCCTGGGAATGAGGATGGGTCATTAGACACGTGGTACAAAACTGCCATGTTGTTGGGACGCAAACATACTGGGACAGAAAAGCAAAAGAGTTCTTTTCACTGAAAATGGTAATTTTTCATTATGCCATTAGTTGGCTACATTTACAGATTAACTAAGGCTTGAAATGTAGCTCAACGTTGGATCAAACAAGATCGTGATAAGTCGAAAAAGATAAAAATAGAATTAAAGTCAAAAAGAATACTGCAAAGCCTGATCAAACAACGTGAAAAAGGCTGAGGTATACAACATTTCTTCATGATCTGGACTGAAGGTCTAGAAAAACTGGAGCTATTTGTCGATTATCTTAACAAATTTACACTCCACTATAAAGTTTACATGCTCACACTCATTTAACAATATCCCCTTCTTTGCTGTCATGGTTTAAGTCAACGATGGCTTCATAGAAACTGACCTTTATACTAAACCTACTGACAAACACCAGTATCTTCTCATTTCATCTTGTCATCCTCATCATACTAAACGCTCTATTCCTTACAGCCTTGCACTTCGCCTTCGCCGCATCTGTTCCAGCCATGACACAAATATAACGCGCCTCAGACGTTCCTCGTGCTGACGCACTTAAAGACAAACCTCCTACACGTGAAACCACTCCTTTTGTTATTGCATATAACCCTACGTTGCCTAATGTCGCGCACATTATTCACAAACATTCCCACGTATTATACACCTCAGAACGTTATAGAAATGTTTTTAAAAACCTTCCAGTAGTAGCTTGCCGCCGATCTTACAATTTAAGCGATATTCTTGTAGGAGCCCAATTGCTAGAGACTGATAATTGTAACAATGCCCGGGTCACTCCCGGTTCTTTTCGGTGCAATAGCAGGAACTGCACCATATGCCCCTATATTGACCTCAGCCGGGGCTACTCTACGTGAAACCTACAAAATCAAATCTCACATTACTTGTAATACTTTCATTGTTTTCTACATGATTTAATGCCGCCTTTGTAATTTGCAATATATTGGGGAAACCAAACACCGCCTCAAGGACCGGTCGGTTACACCCAAACCGCAGTTTCAGAACACTTTCTCAGCAATAGCCTCTCTGTTTCCCATATGTTACTTATCGCAATTGATTTACTTAGATATGAACGCGATTGTCTTAGGAAAGCACGTGAGGCGCACCTCATTCATAAAGCCAAAACTATCGAGCCTCTGGGAATGAGCAAACGTAACGACAATAATCATTATGTATAATCTTTATCTTTTTTTCGGTTCACTTTTCTTAGCAGCCACACCTTACCACGTCATACCATGTAACTTCCTTTTACTATTTTACAGTAGTATATATTCTGTATATTAGTGGTTTTTCCTAATAAACCTGATGAAGACTGGTATAGGCCATTTGCATGATGGCGTCATTTTACTACTATGACCAGGATCCTTCAGGGTTTTGCTTTCTTGTTCAAATTACGGCTTTTGTTATTTAAACCTCACTGGGGCTACCAAATTTAAATATGAAAAGAAAAACGAGCAAAGAATTCTGGTCGTAGTAGTAAAATGACGCCATCGTGCAAATGGCCTATTGGCCAGTCGAAATATTGTATACCTTAGCCTTTTTCACGTTGTTTGATCAGTATGCAGTACCTAGTCTTTTTGACTTTAATTCTATTTTTATACATATTAAATGCTTATCAAGGAAATGACGTATTTTTTATAGAAACGACTTTTTCCGATCTTCATGGTGCATTCGATACAGACAATGTGTTTGTTCTAGACGAAAAAGGAGTGCGAGATGAAGAATCTTCCAAAAACGAACAAAGGAAGGCAAGGCATGGCAAGCGAACTGCAGAAGAGAGCTACCATGTTTGAGTTAAGGAATGACTGTGCTTTTTTAGCTTTGGAATTCTTTGGCATTTTTCTTCCACTTTAAATTACAACTTTGCTACAAGCCTACGGTAGAGTCCAGGAGACATTAAAGCAATATTAAATTTGTATAGTTTTGCCATTAGGTAAAATTCAATGTAGATACGCTTTCAAATCAAACAAACCTCAATCTATCCTTAAACATACCCATCATGCAAAGAACTTCTATACCTTACAAAAGTTAACACGTAGACCTTTATTTCTAAAAAAAAAAGATGTTAACACCATTTAGAAGTTAGTGTGAACGTCTTTAATTAGAAAAGTCTCTTTTAAAAACTTCTCAGGACGTACTTTTTCGCTCATACGCTAGCATTTTAATTGTGTTGCTCTAAAGCAAACACATCTTAAGGTAACACTCACTGATGTGAATACCATTGATGCACAAACGAAAACAAAGAAGCAAGGCATCGAAACTGTGTTAGAATAAAA